CAAAATAAAATGATGTCTTTGGGAGTATCCAGAACAATCATCCTTTTGCTTCATAACAGAGAAGTTGCATAAATCCAATATCCTCTTTACATGAGATGACAGCTTTAGAATACTGTAAACTATTAATACCAATTAAACTATGCAAAGGAAAATACAAATGCATTATAAACTACTTTGTTCCTATGAAATTCTTGTTTTTGACTACCTCAGTAATTATGCACTATACTCCTTCCTTCCGAGTTTTAAACCTTTAGAATGAAAGCCTTTCCTTTAAACTTGGGATATTTGATTCTGTGTGAAAATTATAATACTAAGCAACCAGTAAAAGTAGCAATGAGTGGACACAACTTGACAAAATATCAGACCTCAAAAATCAATTAGCAATTATAAGACTGACTGAATGGAGGTAGAAAGAAAGAGATGAAGGAAAGAGGGAAGGAGGAGAGCGAGGAAGCCTAGAAGAATGATACTTCTAAAAAATTTTTATTTATTTATTTATTTATTTATTTTAACTTGACCACCATTGACAGAGTGAGAGGGGGGTAAGGGGATGGCCATGCCACAATCCCTTTTCCTCCAGTCTCCTCTTGGGATTTTGAACATGCATGTGCCCGGCATGAGTTTCAAGCCACTGGGCCCAGGACTTGAACTGTGGTCGGCTATGTGGGAATCCAGCATAGTACTGCATGCTATCTGGTGGCTCTGACCATGAGCGATTTCCTATAAGTTTTTACCATAATGCCTACTCAGCTAGACTGGTGCTCATTATGACTCTGTTGTCCTTTCTATATGAACTATTAACAGATTATCTACTTGTACACTCAATACTTTATACCTTCCAGGTTCACCTTCTCAGGAATATTACTCTTGCATTTTCTTCCCTTTTCTATCAGGTCATTTCCAGCAATATAAAACATACCAAATGTCATCTGGGCTAAAACGAAATGGCAATCAAACATACCCTCTTGGTAATATAATTTCATTCCTTTGCTCCACCAGCAGATGGCATAATACTTGGGTCACTGGACTGCCACGTAGTCAACCACAGCATGAGTCCTGGACCCAGCAGCTTCAAACTCAAGCCAGGTATGTGAATGTGTGTGCCAAAAATCCCAAGAGAATAGAGGAGAAGGGACTGTGGTGTGGCCATCCCCCCGGGGGCAATTTTTCACTTTCTATCCCTCTGTTCTGTATCTCTAGCAAGCACACATGCCCTATAGCAAAAATATCTCAAAAAAAAAAAAAAAAGGAAGACAGACAAGAAAAAGTTGTTTATTATTTTAAGTTGCTCTCCTGTTTTTCTCCAGAACTCTCTCTAACCAGTCTTTTACACACAATTCTCCAATAAAACTGTTCTCTAATGGTCATCAATGAATTCATATTATTAAACTGAAGACTGAACTCACTCCCCACCACGGAGAATACAGCTGCAGTATCTCACATGGCAGAGCAAGGTCTTCCTACGAAATAATACTATCTCAACTTACTTTTCATTGGACACTCCTTATAAGGATCCTTCACTATTCTTTTTCTCATTCCCTAAATGATAGTCATGTTCTCTCTCTAGTTGAATCATCCAACTTCATGACTTTAAATATGCTCTATAAGCTCTCATATTTATAATGCCTATAAACAGATAATGTCCTCTCTCCAAAGCTTCCAATGGCAATCTATTTCATACAGAGTAAAAGCTAAAGCCCATACAAAAGACTCAGAGGCACGAAATGAAATGTGCCCTGCTCCAACCACCTGCCTAGTGGCATCTCCTACTAAGCTCCCCTTATTTACTGTACCACTGACCTCACATTTACGAATACTCTACCTCAGGGTATTTTTGCTATTCTCTCTGCTGAGAACGTCCTTCCTTCATGGGCGTGTGGGTTCGCCAGAGAGACAGAGAGAGACAGAGAGACAGAAAGTGAGAAATCACCCCCCAGGGGGGATGGCCACGCGGCAATCCCTTCTCCTCCATTCTCCTCTCGGGATCTTGGGCACGCACGCACACGCACACGCGCCCAGCGTGAGTTTTAAGCCAC